TGTTTACTTCAGTATCGCAAGAGATGCTATGGCCAGAGCCGATGGCATAACACTTTTATTAGGATAATTCTTCTTCTTCTGTTTGATATTCACTTCCCGTAGGTATACTTCATGGCTAGCCGGCTCTACATGATTTCTAAAACAAACTCCTCGTAAATCATCGTTACGAATTTTGTGTAACAGCCTCAGTTGCAACGTTGGGCATGCTACATCACATGTACATTTACCTGACTGCATTGCTACATAAAGACTTTATGTAGCAATGCCAATGGCATTACGTGGTCAGGTATTAAAATGTAGCATTACCGTTAGTGCTAAAGGGACTTAGGTGTCTAAAAGTGTCTACACACTCGCAGTCATTTTCCGGTAGAGGGGACGGTTCGAAACCGGAACGGTTTGACAGCCAAACTTGTATAGACCCAAACTGATCATCAGCGTGGATTGTTCACTCGAAATATGTTCGTGGAAAGGATACTGGCATGTTGAAGTAACTCTGAGGCCAGAGTCAATCGATCTGAGCCACTCCTTTGTGTTGTCCCATTGCCTCCAAGTTGCCCAATGTTTCGCTTCAAATCAGAGGTGGCTCCAAACCGGAAAGGTTTTAGAGTGCACGTCAAATTCACTCTGAGTTCTGAAATTTGGTACTTGCTATCGCTCCACGACGGCCAGTACAGAGTAACAATAAGCCTTGTGTGTGCTTCCATTAGTTTTCATTGGTATAAGGTGCTTTATTGGCGAGATGCGAGCCGCTGTGTACCTGCGACAAGAAGTTGATTTTTCGAAAGACGTGAAACTCAAGTCGTAGTGCGAAACAGCACGGCAAAAACTCACCTGCTTGGTATGGCGCTTCTGGTCATCGCAGAGCCATGAAATTTTGGCTCGGAGTAAAACACATCGTAGTCTCACTGTGACATATGTTTTCTAATCAAAATACCAAGAGAGAAAGTGATTTTTTATTTTTTTTACAAAATACACAACTCACCGGCAGGCACATGCGTGGGGCTAGCATGGGGTGAGATGGTGCTGGTGGGGCTTGCCATGCTCAACTGGCCAGAGGTCTCGGCATCTTCACGTGGCATGCGTACCGAATTAGGGAGGGAAGCATAAGCATGAGGGGAAAAAGCACAGGAGAAAATGGAAGATTTAGAACGAAGGAGAGGATCTAATTTTGGAACACAGCAGAAAATAGCAAATAATCAAACAGATAATAGGAGTGAAAGGAGAGTGTCAAATGCAGGGTGCAATAGGGTAGCAGTGGAGATTGGCTACTCAGAATTGGCGACAATTAGGCTTGGGGTGGGAGAAGCAGGGGCATAATCCTGGAGGAGGCTAGAGGCGGCCGGTTGCCCAATCCCAGTCAGACTGCCTCAGGTGGTCATATACCTTCTTCTTGAAGGTCTGCATCGACTTCTGGGAGGGGCGAGCACTGTGGATAGAGGCTGGGAGGCAATTCCAGGTGCCAATCATACAGTGGGGGAAGGACCGAAGGACATTGTTCCGAGACTGAGGTGGGACAGTCTTGGTCAGCTGGAACGGATGGTGGCTCGCAATTGTGCGCACGCTGGCTCGGGTGCGGGCCCGGGCTGGAGCTGGCAGGGGTAGGAGGGCTGTGATCATGGTAGGGCTAGTCAGATAGCACTAGTGGAGCTTGAACAGGTAGCAGAGGGCAGCAACAGAGCGACGGATATCCAGGCTGGGCAAGTAGCAGCAATCACCGATGACGTGGAGTACCCTACGTTGGATGGCTGTGAGCTTGGCTAGTGTGGAGGGTGCTGTGCTCATCCATACCAGCGTCCCATACACCAGGATCGGCCGAACAAACCCACGGTATACTACGGCACGGCATCGTGGGTTGAGAGCCATGGCAGCCTTACGGAAGAAGCCGAGTCGCTGCGCACCGCGTATTGCGAGGGACCGTATGTGATGCTTGAAGCATAGCTGGCTGTCAAATGTTACTCCTAACAGGCGGAGCTGATCCACCTCAGGTGCGTCTGTCCCCTGGAATGTGATAGAGGGAACTGGGTAGTGGGGATCGTCAGTGGGTGATCGTGAGAGCTTGCGACTTTGTCGGCTCAGATCTGATTCGCCAGAGGGTGCCCCAGCCGGCAAGTGCGTCAACAGCCTGCTGGAGCGTTGCGACTCCATCTGGGAAATTGGCTCGGGTTGTGATACACTTATATACCGTGGTGTCGTCGGCATATACTGCGAGTTTAGCCTCTTCAGGTAGGTGGTCCTCTGCATCGTTGAGGTAGATCAGGAACAGTGTTGGGCCGAGGATGCTGCCCTGCGGCACACCTGACTGGATGTCACGGGTAGTAGAGACCTGGCCACCTACGACACCTTTGATCTTGCGGCTAGTGAGATACCTCTGCAGCCAACAGAGCAGGGACCCTTTGACACCGTATTGCTCTGCCTTGTGAAGGACTCCTGGGTGTGAGACCTTCGGCGGCTTGTCGAAGGCCCCAGCGATGTCCACTGGCACTGCGAGCACCCTGACAAGGCCTCCCGAGTCCGTTCCGGTTTGCGACATATCTCGTATTAATATTTTGAAACCGTCTCCTCTACAATACATGTCATTGCACCTCATGGCTTTAGCCGATTGTTGCCAAAAACCTGAGATTTCCCGACATTATCCACTATGAAACTCGGCATGCCGCTCAAACCTCCCATACTGCTCGTCTTGTTCCTATCTTATCTAATGCTCGGATAGTCTCATAATGCCGAAAATAATGCCGGCTATTAGTATTAGTATTACGCTGAACACCCACGGTCAACTGGGTACTCACAGCTCGGAGTGAGAATAACAAGGATGCAGTTTACAGGGTTATGGGCGTTACAGTTACACACCCGATTGGTTGAGAGACTAGAGAGGTTAATTAAGATGCACGTTATTTCCGACGTGACGCGAGAGTTCAGCTCGCGTTATTTGGCTCGCACGTCGAAAAATCAACGCGAGTGACCTGCAGCTCACGTCGAAATTTGGAGTTTTACGCCAAATTTGACGTGAAATTGCGTGTCACGTCGGAAATAACGTGCATCTTAACGTCTCCACTAGTGTCACCTCCTAGATCCTCTCCCCTGACTCACTTGTGAGGTCTGAATTCACCACTGCACTACAAAGCGGTGAACAGGCATAGTGGTGGCCTGCGGATGCGAAGGCTAGTTTGTGTGTTTCTGAACATTCAAGCGATGCCTACGCGGATCCCGCGAATATTTATTATATTATTATTACGTTGGACCCAACCGCGCCGGCCCGGCCGGCTATTCTCTTCTATGACAATACTTATAATATAAGTTATAACAAAGATTTTTAAAGTGCTCCCAAACAAATAAATTAATCTTCGAGTGCATTTTCGACCTCGCTCCCGCGTGTCGAATATTTTGCTGAATTTCTTTGGTGTTCATCTTGCATGCGCATCACCTGATCACCGGGCCGAAGATCATCGAAGAAAACCGTGGTTGCAGTACTATACATAACCGTTAAAGGGGAAGTATACCCTGAAATCAAATTTTCACCAGTTGTAGTCTTCTGGGTGCTGAGTCGAATGGTCTTGGTCCGAGGAAGCTGCGACGCTCCCTTCCTACTTGAATCCCAATCGAACTCGCGCACTTCCACCGAAACTGGGTGACTGCGCCCTACTAGATGGGGATTTGTATGCAAAATGTCACTAAAAGCGCCATTTCGTTCTTATAAAAGCACGGATGACCGCGATTGGCCCATATGTTGTAGTCTTTTGGACGCTGAGTCGACTGGTTTTGGTCCGAAAAGGCTGCGATGCAGCGTTCCTCCTTTATTCCCAATCGAACATGGTTGAACAAGCGGTCACGTGCTCCTGGGTGCCCAAATCACCTGGTCAACACGCCAGCAGGCGACAAATTTCACACCAAGGTTCAACTCGAGTTCAACTCGAGTGACCACACACACAGGACTGCACCCAAAAAAGGTCAAACAGGCTAGTAAGTTGTACCCTGCAGGCACGGTGACCAGCTGACTGGTGTACGCAGGAGCACGTGACCGCTTGTTCAGCCATGTTCGATTGGGAATAAAGGAGGAACGCTGCATCGCAGCCTTTTCGGACCAAAACCAGTCGACTCAGCGTCCAAAAGACTACAACATATGGGCCAATCGCGGTCATCCGTGCTTTTATAAGAACGAAATGGCGCTTTTAGTGACATTTTGCATACAAATCCCCATCTAGTAGGGCGCAGTCACCCAGTTTCGGTGGAAGTGCGCGAGTTCGATTGGGAATAAAGGAGGAAGGGAGCGTCTCAGCTTCCTCGGACCAAGACCATTCGACTCAGCACCCCGAAGACTACAACTGGTGAAAATTTGATTTTAGGGTATACTTCCCCTTTAATGTTCATTTCGTTGTTTCATCACTGCAGACGTAGACCTACATGTATGCCGGCATCGATTGGTTTATTTGTACTTCAGAAGTAGCTACACTGTACTGTAGTGATAATTAGGGCTGAGTCGGGTGGCATTTTCTTCGGGTATCGGGTCCGGGTAGTTTTCCACGGGTAGCACGGGCCCCTTCCCGATCCCTTGCGCACTGGGTACATGGGTAAACATGCGCTTATTCGTGAATTATGTGTACACGTACACGTGCACTGTAGTCTACATGATGTCATCTGCGACCTCGGGTTTTCGGGTACTATTCGGTACCCGACTACCCGAGGTCCTCACGGGTAGCACGGGTACCCGACTACCCGTGCACACCACTAATTTAGTAATTATTTTGAAACTACATTTTGTACTTCTCTGTGCGCGGAGGGTGCACGAAATTTCACTTCCATGTACATGCGCCTACATGTTGTAGTAACTGTTGCTTTTGTTTGAAGCTAGAAGTAGAAGCTACTGTATATCCGAAAATGGACTTCCACGCCTGTCGCGAACACGACCGTCGCTGCCAAATGTACGTCACTCCCCAACCGCTGCTTGTTCGAAGTTGTCGTTGTTCTGACAGATTTTACCAACGTCTTGTTCACTTGGTGGCTTGGTGAGATACTAGTACGGACGTACCGTTCAGGGCCAACGACTACCTCTGTACTGCAGAATGACGACGGACGAGACTGAACTAAGCCTGCATGCTGTTTATCATGGTTTGCTGACATGTCGAACCGAATCGGGCCAGTCCACTAGTGACTTGCATGGTCGGCCATGTTACAGTTATCGGACGGGACACAGATCTGAGAAGACAGGGCGCGTGGAGTGCGCTTGAACCTCAAATCAAAGCTGGCGTAAGCCGTTACTAACTAAGGCGTTAGGTGCACAACATCACATCGCTCAGCTGCGAACAGGTGGAAAGAGGTACCCGACGAGCGACATCAGTGGGAGGAGGAACAGCAGCCATGAGTGGGGGCAAGGCAGTATCGCGCGGAGTTTCGCGCGATCGAATGCTTACAACTCGCACCCTTGGCTCAGTGCGACGTCGTCAAACGAAGCAGGTAAGGCGAGAAGCGGTTCTAAGAATTAATGTAAATAATTCCTGTAAGCGCTCGCGCACCTACCGGTGGTCCTTCCTTGCCTAAGTCCTTGCATGAATGTATGCGTGATGAATCAGTGGTAACGGTACTTCGCCAAGTACACTAGTGGGTCATGCGTGAGGTGTCTGCTGTGATGACTTCGGAAATATTAATTACTTGAGATGAATCTCGGCTGAGTCTCCGGAAGGAATGCTGTGTGCTGCGTACATGCGTGTGTATCCAGAGCAGAGGTGTGCTTGAATGAGGGACAGCTGGATGGTCTGTAGCATGTGTACCTCTCAGTCCGCCAGATGGCCATCTCCACACCACAGAGCCAACTACAGTCCTGCTCCATGAAATCCGTTCACGTCACTCAAGTTTGCGCCTTGCACCATTTCGCAGCCCAGTGTTCGCAGGTCTAGAGCTGCGCAACGCCCGGCGTGCACTTGAGTGACACAACTTTCCACTGGATTTCATTGGGCGCTTTCGATTACACGTTTACACAATTCTGGAACTGGTTTTTTTAATTCTGGAATGAGCGGATTCCGGCCTTGTAAACAAACGACTGGAATTCACAACGCATTTTTATTCATGTCATGTCACAAACAAACTTGATGAATTGTAAAAAGAGATAACGTACACCCTCGCGCGCACGTGGACCCAGCATCGCGCACACGCCGGCCAGGGAGGCTCTTCGCTCGCTTGAGTCATGACCAGACCGGTAACACACCGACTGCGCAATTCCAGCGCCAGAATTAGAGAAATTCCGCCCTCTCTTCAGAATTGACGGATTCGACGGAATTCTGTCGCCGGGGAAAATTGCGGAAAAAAACGCAAAAAACGCGGGGAAAAACGCGGCATAATATGGCATAATTTGCGGTGAATTTGCGGTAAATATGCGGTGGATAATAATTGATGTGCGGCAATTTTCAGTGAGTATGTAGTGAAATCAATCAGTTACAAGTCTCTGGTGTAAGCACTCGTCATATTTGAGTAAAAAGCCGCCACGATGAGACGTTGCTGACCGAACAGTGCACTGTGTGTACGTGTAGTGCAACAAAAAAGTTCAAAAAACGCGGGAAAATCGCGGAAAACGCGGTCTTTTAAAAAATCGCAAAAAACGCGGAAAAAAACGCGGCCGCGGAATCGCAATTTTCCCCGGGGACAGGGAATTGGATGAAATCAATTCTAACGACGGAATTATTTGTCACTTTTTGTGTAATCGAACTGTGCATCAACATAACAAATTCTAGAATTGACCAAAATGCGTGTAATCGAAAGCGTCCTTTGAGCAGCACTGTACAACTCAAGATGCATACTCCAATTTCAGAAATTTTACTATGTAGGTGCAATGTAAGTGCTCAATATTTTCAGTATGAGGACATGCAAAAGGCCAGGCTAGGGGAGCAGAAGTTTTAGGTACAGAGAAGCAGTTCCCTATTGGATTATGTGTGTTAGTATTTGTTCGGTGTATTGAAATTTATGTATGAAACAGACGCACCGAAAGTACCGAAAGTAAAAGTACGCCGAAAATTTGTGAAATTCCAGTATATCCATGGTACTGCGACATGCTACTAGTCCTTGCAAGCAAGAAGAAAGCATGCTGACTGTGTTGATGGCTGGGCAACATCACAATCATGTATCACTGTGTTGATGGCTGGGCAACATCACAATCATGTATCACTGTGTGTACAGTGTGAAGGGTTGTACGTACAGTCACAGCATCAGAAACAGTCTGCACTGGTGCAGTGCATGGTCTACAGGCATTCAGTTAGACTGAGTGTGAGTACTACTACTACACTGAAACCTGTCTAAGACGACCTCTCAAGGGACATTCAAAAATGTGGTCTCTGTTACCAGGTGGTCTCCTTATCCAGGGTCATTTGACTGGAAATAGCATCACTCGGTCCTGGTTTCAGTGGTCTTCTAAGACAGGTGGTCGCCTTATCCGAGTGGTCGCCTTGACAGGTTTTACTGCACTAGTAGTGCATGGTTCCTGTGGGCGTGATGCACAGGTTCATGCGTGACTTGGTAGCAGCCAAGCTTGCAGCATTGTTGTGCACCAGTTCTGCATGGATTAGGATGCGGCGTCAGAACTGAGATCTAGCTAATCTATGTCCAATGTTGACAAAGGTATCGACTGTTTGCAGCTAAGACAACAAGATAGACTGGGGATAGAGAAGGAACACTAAAAATCTTGGCCAGGGTTGAGCTGGAATGTTTTCAGAAAGGCACCTGACCGATGGTGCACTAAGTAAGACGCAGAGGAGGTGTTGGCTGGACTAAGACAGGGGTACTGCATTTGCAGTATGAGCTCGACTCTAAAAGTTTATAATGGAATACACACACTGCTGCACTGCACCGCACTGACTCAGATGTATAACCACCTGGATCGGCTGCATGCGGCATCCACAACTTGATCCACTTTCCAGTGGCCCATGTGACTGTGTATGTGCAAACTTGGGAGGCTGGAAGCCAGCCTGGCAGATACTTCCTCTGCAGCAGTGCACAGCCGGCAGAGCTACGTGGGTCAAAGGAACAAACCGCTGGTCTGCATAGGCCAGTGTGTGCATATCACTGCATGTTCGTATCTGTGTGTGGAACGAGTACTGAAAAACAAGGCTGGAATAAGGAGCCCAGTCTAGCTGTGCCGGTGTGTGTGTGGGGGGGGGGGGTGTGTGAATGCGTGTGTTCCCACCAAAGTCATGATGTACAGCAACACTTGAAATCAGCACTGAAGAGTGAATGCTATTTCCCTTTTTGCAAGTTGTGGGCATTGGAGACGTGCAGATACACACACACACACGGTTTGAATGCGTAACACACACACACACACCTAAGCTGCAGTAACCTGCCAGAGGATGTGCTGAGTATCACTGCTTCAGTCTAGAATCCACACTACTCTCAGTCTAGTGTAGGCGGTGTTGCCGTGTGGGCATTGAACAGAAAAGCATCAAGAATATGTCGGTAATCTCCAGAACCACTTTTTTGTTAATTTCTCATGGTAATAAAAAACAAGTAATGGTTTGCATCTTTCCCTCAAACCGATGAATAAAACAATGTTCTGAAGGAGTTTTTCGGATACCAGATTGATGCATAGAGTATCATTGTTGCTAGCTGCTACTGATGTACTTCCTGCTGTTGCTGCTGGTGCGTGTTGTTGTCCAGGGCAATGTTCTGCTGCAAGATGTTGACGCAGGCAAGCCATGCCTGGCGTGCAAGAACTGCAAGGAGGGATTTGCATTGCATGTGTGGCGGTAAGTCCCCTATGTCGTTACAATAATTTTCTCACAGATCTCAACACTGTACTGTGGCATGCAAAATAACTGCTGCACTTTTCTGGTGTGGAACCTAAAGCAAAATTAAAGTTGGAAAACCCTGTCGAACTGCTGCTTCAACGTGTCTTAGGTTGCATTTGTTCGGTCATTCCCGAATGGGCATGGAATGACGCTCGTGCCCATCGCGGAATCGGAATGAGTGTAGCAAACAAACGCGCCGGCATGCATTCGGGAATCTGGCAAAGTTTTGCGACACTCTGGAAACGAAACAACGGTCGAATGTTTTTGGGGTGTTTTTTAGTATGAGTATTACCTGTTGTTTGCAGCCTTGCGAAGACTACTACATGCCAGTCCTGGTAGTTGCTATTTGCTTCCGCAAGTTTCTGCATGTCCCGACGACAGTCATGATGAAGGAGCGGCCAAACACGGCGTAGATCTACGAGTACAAGTAGCTAGGGTGCCTGTAGACGGCGTTAGGTCTCTACTTCATCATGGTAATCGACCTCGTATCAGTCACAGAAACGTCTCTGGCTCTCGTGTATATTTGACAGAGACGAGGCACTGTTGTAAGAAGAAGTGAAGTGGCAGGCTCGGTGCCTCTTTGGGTCTTGGGTCTTTGACTCGAAAAAATACCTCCCTGTGATTCTAGAGGCCCTGCTCGACGACGATGAAGAGCTGAGGTGCGAGTGTATATTTCCAGTTCATCAACGATCCCGGGCGAACACTTTCTCAGGCAGCGAAGGCTCAAAATACCACGAACAAATTATTATGCCGAGGTTACAGTACCAGCCTATACCCTGGACGATGTCCGCAAACATACTATATCGATAATCGTGTTTGAAGCTTTGTTGGAGAGGTATGCAGCAGCGACGAAGCCCCTCAATCCACTTTTTCTTAGGAATCGCCAGAATTGATTCTGCCCCCTTCATTCCGCGACCGGAATAGGAATTGCACCGAACACACGCTGTCCAGTGCACCAAACAAACGCTCCGGAACCAAAACACGGCGGAATGACTTTGGAATGGTGGCGGAATGGCATCGAACAAACGCAACCTTAATAATGTATCTTAGGATTCCGGACATGTACTTAACTCAGCATGGATGGTGCACCATGCGAAATCACTCCTCTGCCTAATTGGACGCTTTGTTTAAACCTATGGTAATCATATGCCCTCTGTTTCTGCTTCCCGTATTCTGTGACGCGTGTGCAGCAAAAGCTGTAGGAACTGCTACTGCAAGAGAGAGGACCATGATATCGGCATCGTGGTGGACGATCCGACGGACATTCCCAACATGCACCTCAAGCACATGCAATCCGGTTCTGCGGACGCGCCGCCGGAGGTGAAGCGTACCGGGCGTAAGTGGAGGCCGCCCAGCAAGAGCCAGGTACCACTCGGCTCGGTCTCTGAAGAGCCAGAGGAAGAAGAGGAAGGTCTGGATGACGCGTTCGCCGGGACCAGCCTGAAAAACGATATTGTGGAGGAGAATGACTCGCCATATGCATGGATTCCAGATGGGCTTACAAAGAGGCAGGTAAGAATGATGCCTGAATACTCGTTTGCAAGAGACCTTCACATGACATCTCATAACGCGACATTAGATAATATCGCATCACATAATAGGATAGCACATCTCATCCATCATAAATGCCATGCCAGTGCGTAGCAGACTAGCACTACATCATAGAAGTTACATTTCAAGAGCCCCGGGGGTTTTCTGGACCTGATTTATTGTATCCTAAGCTTGGATGAAAATGGAGAATTGCTAGTCCGTAGAGAGGGAGACGTTAAAAGTGGCCTCAGATATAACAATAACTCACAAAATAATATCTTCAAACTAAGTAACCACCTTAATGGTGTGCATACTCCACTATAGCCACAGTTCATGTTTCACACAGTTATGCACCACTACCCCAACTGTCTCTCGGCTACAAATTCTTCCAAAAGTAGTTAATTAAATAGAATCCAAATTTTCAGGCCAGCTCCATCTTCAGGAGGGGCTGGAAATTTGGATGTTGTTTCATTAATTACTTTAGGAAGAATTTGTAGCCGGGAGATCGTTTTAGGGTATTGGTGTATAACTGTGTAACAAACCACTTGACATGCATACTTTTAACCTCGAAATAGCGACAACTAGCAGTACTTTCTCATGGTCCATCGAGGGCCGTTATACTAAGTCTTGGGTAATCAGTTCGAATTGTTCCGTTGCACCGTACCGATCTTCCACAGGTCACTTGCAGTAAAATCCGAATGCATAACTCGAAGTTCGAAAAGCAGTCTCGTTGGATACTTCAAAGTTTTCTGTTATACAGAAGGGCAGGTCACAGTGCAAGCACATTCACTATGTCCTTCGTGCGCTTATTTCAAAGTGGGCGGGTATACTTGAGATTCACCGGTAATTCTAAGTTCGTTCTCCTCTCGTCTTCCCGCTGCCGGCATAGAACCTGGCTTTGTTTCATGCGTTCCAGCTTCAACAGTAGCATCCAAGAAAACTTCGTCAAAGTACGTTTCAAAAACGTGTGAGGAAAGGTCCAAGGCGCTTCAAATGGTAGCCGACGGGAAAGTCAAAGCAAAGGTGGCTGAAGAGGTCGCCGTGCCCCTCAACACCGTGTTGGGTTGGTTGAAACACCGCTTGGAAACTGAAGCAGCCGTCGAGGAGCACCAGCTTGGGACTCGGCGGAAACGAAAGCGAGAGGCAACTTTCGCGGACGCCAATGGCGCACTGTTCACCTAGCTCCTCCAATTAAGCCTGAGCTTAAAAGGAATCAGTTTGTGTGGCCCGCTTCTTTAGGAGAAGGCTCTGACGTTTTCTGAGCAGCTGGGGTTTAGGGATTCTCTACATCGTCGTGTGTTGGCCGACGTGTTTCAAATCCCGGCATGGACTTACCTTCAAGTAACTTCATGTGCGGCGAGGAGAAATCCGTCAACAGCGATTCAGTCGACACGGCTTGGACAACTACAGTGCTGGGGGTAAGTGAAGTCGTTCATATTGTTGAGTGATCGTTGCTTGCCTTCGGAGAACGCTTGTTGGCGTGATCACACCACTCAAATATTCTGTTCCCATGTTCCATTTGGCTATCGTTTTACATTTCAGGATTTGTTGAAACGCTACTCGCCGGACGATCTATACAAAGCCAACGAAACAGCGCTATTTTATCCAACGTTGTCGTCGTCCAAGTCTTTGGTCGAAGGCCGCAGTAGGGATAGGTGCAAGGGTAAGAAGCAGAGTAAGGAGCGGGTAACGGTGCTCGCAGCGTGCAGTATGTCTGGCGAGAAGCTGCCCTTGTTGCTGATCGGGAAGATCAAAAATCCAAGATGCTTCCGTGGCATTCGTAACCTTCCCACGGAGTACGATGACAACAAGAAAGCCTGGATGACCGGCGCTATTTTCGAACGATGGGTTCGAATACTGGACAGCCGGATGGCAAGTCAGAAGCGTAAGGTGAGTTTGATCTTTCGATTCATTGACTGCCCGACTTTTCGTAGTGTTCACTATGGCTTCTAAACAAGTTGTGTTTTGTTTCGCATAATTATATTAGTTTTTTGCTTCAGGAATTCGTGAATTTGTGTTTGCTACATAGCCCATGTACTGTCTGATGTGCATTGTGTGCTACGAAGACTGTTCTTGTTTGTCTCTGATTGCTGGTTGCTCCACTAGATCTGTTTGGTTATCGACAACTGCTCGGCGTAGCCCCATTTACAAGGCCTGGCGAATGTGGAGTTAGTCGTTCTGCCACCGAACACAACATCCGTCAAGTAACCCCGCAATGAAGATATTATCCGCTGCCTCAAGGCGCAGTACCGGAAGAGAATGATGCGGAAAGTGAGATGATGATTTTCACATATTCTGTGTGTTCTCTTTATAGTCTCTTCTGTGTACTTGTACATTGCACTTTGTTGCAAAAGGATGTTGTATGTATGTACGAGTACAGTGAGGTTTTTTTGCAGCATAAAGATCGAATAAACTTTTAAAACAGAGGGAAAACACATGGGACGAGTTATGAAGCAATATCCACGACTGTGAAAAGATAATTAGCCGTCAGAAAGTGTGATAACAGGGCAAAAAAACTGACAGGCCACTGAGACATTCAACAGCCTGAGACAGTCTTCTTGCAGTCGTGGATGTTGCTCCATAACTCGTTCCCATGTGTTTATCTTCTATTTTACATTTTATTACTGGCTCAGTATCCGAGTTAAAGAATAAACTCATTGCAAATGTTGTCTATTTCCCCATTTGTGCGTGGTGCCGCAGGTGATCAAGCACTTTGATGATGGCAAGCCGATCAATGAGATTAAAGTCACACTTATCGAGGCACTTCGGAGCCTTCAGGTAAATGACCATTATCCCTATATACAGTAGAGTGCCAATTATCCGCACCCCCCCCCCCCCCCCCCCCCGGGTCTCCAGGGGTTCGGATGAGGAGAAAGTTTGGATAAGGGAGCAGTCAAACATCCATTTATGACATGCACATTCCTTCATGTTCCCATCTTTTCTCGTTCTCTTCGGCAGTTCCACACAAACTAGACACACTCTAGCTCCTCAAAATGACTCTACGGTGAAAAATTGTCACTCCAACCTGTTCCAAAACATCTTGTGCATTGCTTGAATGGTGCTTGAGGTGGGGAAAATGAGCAGAACTCATTGTCGTCCCTTCAATTCAATGGAAACTGGCATTTCAGATAATTGATCCTTCGGATAGTCGAAATTTGGATAATCGGCATTCTACTGTAGTGGAATCGTTTCTAATCTTTGTTCTATTCTTCTATTTATATTCTTTTGTGACTGGGCCTGCATGCGCTCTTCCTGCCATTTTCATGAGCCTATTCCTTGCCGTGACTGAACCTTTTCCTAATTCTTAATCTTTCCTTGCAGGATGCTTGGAGCAATGTTGAAGAGTCGACGATCCGTGCTTGTTTTCGGCATTGTGGCTTCACCATCACGGATGGTAAAGGTGACACCTTAGCACCTGATGAGGAACCATACACCCGCAATCGTGTGGAGGAGATTGTTTCGCTGATTGAGTTGCATGGCCGGTCACAGATTGATGGCAATCTTGATGCCACCGGATACCCCGCGGCCGAAACAACCAAGGATGTTTGCGACACAGCAACAGACGAGGACATTGACCTGAGTTTGGCCAAGGCTAATGAGGAGCAAGATGATGATGAAGACGATAATGATGATGAAGATGTTGATGAACAGGTCGTGTGCAAGCCTGTGAATCGTGCAGAGGCGCTGGACTGCATTGCCAAGGTTCAGCTCTTCCTTGAGCAATCACTGCCTTCACCCAGGCCTCATCCAAGGGATTTGACCTCGTTTCACAACTCCGCCGTCATGTCGAAGCTTCACCGGCAGCTCCAGTACGACAGTCTACCGTGTTTAATATCTTCTATCAGAAGTACAGTAAAACCAGTAACTAACGACCGCCCCCTGGTTCCAAAAAAAAGTTGTCTATCATGGCAGGTGATCTTTTTGTTGGAGCTTTGTACCCCGTTGCTATATATGGATCCCATTGTATGATATGTATGCCAAAATGCAGCGCAAGAATTTCTCCACCAATTGCGCAATGCCATTCTTATCACAGATCACTCAACATTTAGAGAGAGAAATTTATGTTTTATTGCTGATATCAAATTCAGTTGCTACTTCTGAAGCCAGGAGCCAAGCATTTCCTGGCCGCTGTGGAAGTTTGGCGTGGCGCTGGGCTTCAAATTTGTTGATGAAATCAGTAAGTTTATCAACATCCATTGCAACGTAACCCAAGCCATGCTGCAACATACAGTAGCATGCTAGCATTACAGTGCTCATCTGTGCGACTGGGGTATGCGATTGGACTTCAACAGAGCAGCTCAGTCTTTGTTTATCCTTCGAGCAGTAACAAGGACCAGAGAGCGCTTTCGATGCGCTCTCAAAGATGTTTCCCATCATGTTTGGTTTTTGATTTTTGAAAGCACTTGGAACTATGGCAGGCCAGTTCACAGCCAAAAGAATCTCCGTCCATTTTTCACTCGCATTATCGAAATATACCGATCAAGACCATTGAAAATATACAATATTTCAAAGAAGGAGCTTCGAACAACCTTTGATTTCCCACATCGCGATCGCTAGTTACGGGTCGAAAATCGACCTTGGGACAAGAAAAGGCGGCCGCTGGTTGCATCGAGCCAGTAGTCGCTAGTCTCAGTGCATTACGAAAGGGAGGGTATCCGTGCCTGGTGAAGTGGTTGGTGGTCGGTAGTTACCAGGCTGGTCACTAGTCTCGGTGGTTGGTAGTTACCCGTTTTACTGTACTGAGAACTCAAACTGAATGCTGTCTGAGTGTCGTTTACAACACAAACACATTGTTGACACGTCTCTACCCATGCATGCACATGCACATAATTTTATGGCTGGATGTGTTTTCAGCCGTGAAGTACATGTGCAGGGATAATGATTTTGCAATTCTGAGCAATTTCAAATACATACTGGTACGTGGGGTGGAATTTTGGATATTTAGAAGTTGCGGCCCGGCAAACCAAGGTTCGAATTTTATTTTATTTTATTTCACCGTCCAATGGAAGAAGCCAATGCAAAGGAGGGGGCGTTAGCCAGCCATGTAAAGGAAGTCTACCTGTATAGAACTCTTGCGAAGGCAATACTACATTGTACAATGCATTGCGGCTATAGCTAGACACTCCAAATCTAAGTTTCTCTTCTGCTGACTGTTTGTAACACTGATAGGTTGAGAAGTTCATGGACATGGTACCTGTCGACGCTCGGCCTGAGAACACGCTGGAGGGACAGCAGAAACGAGCACGTCGCCGCTTGCATCAGCTTCCTCCTCATGACTCCGACAAGGATGCGTGCAGTGGTGTGGACAATGAGGCGGCCGAAGTCATGCAGAACTTTGTGGCGAATCGCGACACCAAGGATTTGGGCAAGGGAAGCGTGGCCGAGCAGGAGGAGATAAAGGTACGGGTGGAGAGTCACTTGGCTCAGACCAATTCTAACGTTGTCTAGCCATGTCTGTGTGTTAGCGTTAGTGTACGGTCCTCTATCTAGTCTGGTCATAGTCATTTTAGTCTGACTCATACACATCCAGGGAAGGCTGTTATTCCAAGTGATAATCTCGTGCAGTTCAAAGACCTGCTTGATATGTACCTGAATCAATATAAAGGCACCTGATCTGACGCTCAAACAAATGTGGGATCTCCAGGGTCACTCCCATGCAAACCATGGATGTTTTCTCCCTTGTGAATGTGGCTGTTGTTGTATTGCTCAGAGCTGCGCTGACTGCAGCCAAACGATTGCCATAGGGGACATGTCAGTGACCAGTGGCCGTCTTCCCGGACAACATTTCCACCCGCAGTGCTTTGTGTGCACCGAGTGCAAGCAGTTTCTGGTCGACCTCGTTCACTTTGTTCACGAGGGCAAGTTGTACTGTGGGCGCCATCACGCTGAGATGATATTTCCCCGCTGTGGTGGATGCGATGAGGTAAGTACTTGAAGTAGTCCTTAACCTAGGTGATGTCATGATTACAGGATGATACCTAGGTGATGTTATGATTACATGTAGGTGATGTCATGACTACATGTAGGTGATGTCATTATTACAGGATAATACCAGGGTGGCAGATGCAGCGCCTAACTGCGAGGGTGAGGTGGTAACTCTCACAACCAATGCCTCCGCAGATAAGTACTAGTACAGTGCGTATCGGTTATAGTGTGGTCGTATACAAGAATATACTGCCTACAAGAATGAACACTCATTTTTTCATAATCATAACACATATTTTATGTGTATATTTATTCTTACAAGCAGTATTATCGCATAGTAGAATATATCGGCCCTAAGAATGGATTTTGTGTAGCAAAATATGCCAGATTAGTGCAAAGTGTATCGCCTGTAGTAATAAAATCTGTGCTCTGTGCATACTCAATACAATAATATTCAACACAAAAAGAGAGTTATGTCCAACTGAGCATCGGAGAATCACTTTTTCTGTCCAGTCGGACTCTTGCTTCCGACTTCTCTTGGACTCTTGCTTCCGACTTCTCTCGTATCTGCTGCTCCGCAGTCGCCTAGCACGACCGCGAGTCTGATCCGTGTGTATCATGTGTAGACCTACATGATTGTACGTGTCCACATGCCAAACGTGCGCGCATAATTATAATTATGATACCTGTATGTCACACGTGCATATGATATGTCACACGTGATTTATCGTGTGTAAGAAATATCGGCAATAAGAATCAAATGTCGTTTTTCAAACACCCACGCTATAACCGATACCTACTGTACATGTAACTCAGCTTTCAGTATCGACGGAAGACCATTTCACCATATTCCCTGTATCAACATCTGGATACACAAGAGAGAGAGAGAGAGAGAGAGAGAGAGAGAGAGAGAGAGAGAGAGAGAGAGAGAGAGAGAGAGAGAGAGAGAGAGAGAGAGAGAGAGAGAGAGAGAGAGAGAGAGAGAGAGAGAGAGAGAGAGAGAGAGAGAGAGAGAGAGAGAGAGAGAGGAGAGGGAGAGAGAGAGAGGGAGAGAGAGGGAGAGAGAGAGAGAGAGGGAGAGAGGGAGAGAGGGAGAGAGAGGAGGGGGGGGGAAGCTGTGTTGCAACTCCGAGTTTCATGTACATATAGTCGCAATCATCAGGCAACCGAGGGCTCCGAAGGCAACCGAGGGCTCCGAAACGGGAAGCCTGAATATAAGAGAGAGCAAGGTGAGAAATACTGAGGGGAATCATAGCATGCAAGTCAGGTGCAGGCAGGAAGTTGCTAAGTCTTTTGACTTGGGGCTATGCAGCAGCAGCAGCAAATCCACAATCATGATGATATATCTCCCTGTTGTACACTCAGAGTGAGCTGCAGCAGCTCTGAAGAGTGCTCGACGCACCTACACTGCTGGCCAAAGAAATCCAATCTCATGAATAAAATAGCCCCAGGCGCGACGTCGCCCTAGCACTGGGCACACAGGTCTGTGCACTCTAACGCTGCGCTAATGGTGGCAAAGACACACCTGGCACAAGAGCAGTAAACTACTGCAGCTACATTGGAGTCTTGAAATTCGTTCTCCTGGACATCATATTGTCACATAGGTAATCCACGCGATTTTCCTTTTCTCCTGGTGTTTATCTGCGTTGCACAGCTCATCTTCAAAGGTACCTATACCGTAGCTCAAGGCAAGAGGTGGCATCCGGATCACTTCTGTTGCATGGGATGTGACAATCCGCTGGCGGCCGAGAAGTCCGAAGAATTTGTGCAGACCAAGGGCAATGTGGTGTGCGTGCCGTGCTTTGAAAGCAAGTTTGCCAAGCACTGCTTGATGTGCGAAGCTAAAATCGGGGCTGGCGAAGAGCAGCTGAGCAGTGGAGAGTACCAGTGGCATACCAAATGCTTTACGTGCAATGACTGCAAGGCCGTACTCGATCCCAGTCAGTTCCTGCTTCGCGAAAAGAAGCTCTTCTGCCAGAAGTGCTACTCTGGCAAGTTCTCGTACAGCTGCGCCAAGTGCAAGGATCCCATCGATGGCACCCAGCGCTCTCTGGGAGTCGGGGACAAGAAGTGGCACTCGTCCTGCTTTGTGTGCAGTGGCTGTCAGTCGGAGCTCGCCGGCAAGCCGTTCGTCGACCACAGCTCTGGTCTCTTCTGTGTGCCTTGTTACGAGAAGTCGCACGCCACCCGCTGCAAAGCATGCAGCAAGGTGATAGGCGAGGCGGGTGGACTACGCTACAAGGAGGATGTGTACCATGAGAAGTGCTTCGTTTGCTCCTACTGTCAGGTTCCGTTGGCCGGGAAGAAGTTTGTGCGCAAAGATGATAAGTTCTGTTGTGAGAAATGTTTCGGTGAGAAGCTTGCGCCGAAGTGTTTCGCCTGTCGGAAAGTCATTGTCAAGAATAGTGATGGCGATGACTCGTTCATTGCCCACCAATCCAACAGCTGGCACATTCCCTGCTTTGTCTGCTCCAACTGTGGAAAGAAGCTGGATGGAGAACGCTTCAACTTCAAGGACAATGCACTCACTTGTGGACTTTGCCTCTAATCTAATCACGGTCTCTCTCTCTCTCTCTCTCTCTCTCTCGTTCTCTCTTGTGCCATACAAAAATCACATAGCCATTTTTATGTTTGGTCGAATAATTACTCCTCCCATTGCGCTTGTTGCCACTATGATTTTAGCCCTATTTCATTGCACGTGAACGTATTTTTACAACGCAGGCTGAAGATGTGTCTCGGTGCAACGCCATTTTTCAACTCGGTTCTAGAAATTCTCTATGGCATGCAATATTATCAAAGGTATGGACTGACCGTTGTGATCAACTTATTCAGTGTCTATTTTTGCCCGCAGCTCAATTTTCGCTTCTGTTCCTCTGGGCAGTGGCCATAACAGCGCTGTTTACTGCACTGCTTCTAGCAGGCTAAAAGGTGTGTATGCTTCTGATGGTTGGCTGAATATTTGAAATGAACGAGAAGCATTGTTCTTTCGAATGACGAACTTCTACGATGCGTGTGTTTTCTGGTCTTGCAATATGGCTGTTTGCAGCCAAGCCCTGCACTAGGTATGGCTGTTGTGAGGTGTGACAAAGAAGCATATTTTGCTACTATGATGACACGACTATTGTGTCTCTTACAAGTAGAAAATAATAGAAAAGCTGACAGGATCGCTTTTCTAAATATACATTGTACACTGCGGTTCTGAGTGTCTTGGAATTTTAATGATTCAGTTGTACTCTGCAATGGCGTGGGTAGGGATCAAAGCATGGCGAAGTATAGCCGTGAGTGTGGATTGTGTATAGCACACTGATGAAGCAGCAAGGCGGACTGAGATCTAATAGATCTAGCCAAGTGGCCCGGAACATTGACAATTTGACATACATTTACACAGTACATGCGCCGGCTATAATATCAGTATTACTTCGCCATTGCCGAGCCACCGTGCTCACAGCAGAGACTTCTGTGTGTGTTATTGTTGTGAAAGTGGACCACAAAGACCTTTAATCACTGTAATACCGTGTACAAATATTGACAATGGACATTTTCAATTTTTCATGAAATCACTCATCAAGACAAGATTTACACGAAGAGAAAACGTTTCGTTTATGGGTGGGTATACATGTACGGGTGAGTTGAGGAGAGTTGATTATTGATATATTGAGCTTTGATAAATATCCACACTCATTAGTGACCACACCATCAACAGTATCAAATTCAAATAAGTTTGCTTTGACTCAATAAATACCCCACTGCACGTTTTCATGTAGCACTGCACTTTTCCCTAAAAAGGAGTATTTTATATACAGTATTGTACCACTAAGACCAATAAAATTAATACTGTTTATTAAAATACTCCTGTTTAGGGAAAGGGCAGGTCAACATACCGGTATGTACATGTATAATAAAATTTATGTAGTTGCCTCAGGATTTATTGCAATTACGTACCAGTTATAAAAACCGAGGTCCCCGAGGTTTTTCTACTGCCAGTACTGGTATGTAATTGCAATAAATCCTGAGGCTCTCCATTTACATGACTGTATTATAATACAGTACATGTACGTACCGGTACATACATACACTGACTGGTCTGTACTAGTACTACTGTAGCTGAAACATCAATCCTAGCTCTAAATTACGTAAAGTCAATATTAAATTTTTTCGTTAGCCTGAGCATGAGATTGTTTGTGGACCTTGTGCTAGCATGCTGGTACTGGTAGAACTATTAATTTTAGCAGGGCCTGGCCTAGGGAGTCGTATATTTTTCTCCCTGGTTTTTACAAACGACGTGGCACTCGGTCGTTCGTGCGCGCTAGGCCAATAGGAGTAGGAGTGTGAGTAGGAGGAAGAAGCTACTCATACATCACCGGCTTTTCCAAAGGCAAAGGAGAGTTCTTGAGCGGCCATTGGGCCTTGAGGGCTATTTCTTTGGAGAGCATATCCCTACATCAGCGCATGCTTGTATTTGTCATAGGTATAGTAGTAATTATTTTGCATTTGTCTTCGTGGATGTGCGGCAGCGGTCGTATGAGTAGCTTGTGGAGCGTGTGCTCAGTGCCATTTTGGTCGACATACCGATGCCAGCGATGGGATATCCACCGGTCAAATGTCACCAGTGCAAAGCGCTAGAATGAATAACCACACACGCTTGGCACCCCAGACAAGCTAGTAGTAGATCTACCGGCGGCGGAGTGTGGCGTTCGGATTCGGGAAACCAAGTGGTGTGTGACAGAGCTAGTGTTTCGCCATGTGTGCGTCTCCTCAGTCCCTGCCGTAAACTCAACCTGCCACTGCCAGACGACCAAGCAGTCAAGACTCGGACTCAGCGGCCTTGCCCGGATTTCAAACAAGACAGCAGTGGAAACGGACCTGAACTACACAAGGTCGATGACCACCAGCTGTTGGCAGACGGACAGTCTAAACGAACCACTGTACATGTAGTCTTGCATGTACTTTGTATCCAAAACCAAAGGTCTTGGCGTGGTGAACAACTGGATGTGCAGTCAGTGCCCGCACAGAGACGCATAGCATTACCGGGTCTAGGCATACATCAGGCAGACGTGGTGTCGCAGTCAATCTAGGAAGGTGAGAGCAGGTCCATAGTCCGGTTGCACGCAGTGGACGAGGCAATGATCGCAAGGGAGGTAGAAATCAACGTTCGCCATCACAGGGCTTTCCTGCAGCGCCTCAGCATGGGATGGCACGAACTATGTAAATCTCCCAGAGCCTCTTTGCCCAAACCTACGCCCAATGTTGCATTGGAAGTGTGGACCGCCGTGTCTGGCGGAGGATGGCCAGAAGGAATGACGGACACCATGTACAGTGATATTACCTTTCCGAGTCGTCACGGCATTGCTCCCACCAGGAAATATGGCCGCAAGGCCGACGACGACGACGACGACGATGGCGACACAGACATGAGGTTCTTCCTGTTTCGTGTAGTGTGCAGTGGTGATGTCACGGTTCTCAACAATATGTGCAAGACATTCAGTGAGCTGAGCAAGAGCAACCCTGAGAGTACAACACACACAAGTAGCCCTGCTGGTGCTGCTGCTGCTGCCTTTACGTCACATATGAATCAGGTGTGGAGCTACCAAAATCCTGAAGACAGCTGGGTGGACGTGGAGGGGGACGGTGTTCGAAAACCAGTCCCGCAGCCACCCCGCCAGTGGTATCGCCACGTGTTTAAGCACCGGCTGGCTTCCAAGCATGAACATTCGCCCTGCACTGGTGACGCTAGTGATTCCGAGTATACGCTGTGCACCGTGTACAAAGCACCGAAGGTACGTCATCTCGTCAATACACGCATTTCCGGTTTCCCCCTGCTGAACTTTGCCATCGTGTGTGGACATGTTGATATGGTTGAGTGCCTACTGCGCTGGGGAGCCGATCCATTTTGGCTGGCTCAGGACTCGGAGAAAATGCGAAGCCCATTTAGTGCCCGTATCTACGGGCCGCCAGCGGAACAAGTTGGTGAAACGTACAACGCACTATTCACCGCCATCATCTTGCGCGAGCCACATATTGTGCGTACGTTGATTCGACACAGCGCAGAGCGCCGTCTAGTTCCCGAGCCCTGTTTCTTCTGGTACAATCATCACATGGATCACCTGACATTGTTTGAAGCGTGCAGCGGTGATGTGGCTGTACTTGATGCCCTCTGCTCTGACCCTCGACTCCCGTTACCAATAGAGGAGGCGTTCTGTGCTTATAAAACTGATGCCAACCAGGAAGCAGCTGCATTACTTCTGAGTCATGTTCGCTGGAACGCTTCATGTACCACCGGCATCAAAATGGGAGAGACTTTGTCGTTCCTCGATTCTCGCATTGCTCCAGTTTTAGAGGCACCATGTTACACAGATGTAGAATTTACCTGCAAGAAGTTTTTCTGCTTCGCTGCCATGCTGCGCCTATGTTCATTCTATGCTCCTCCATCAGAGCGGCGCGGTCAGATGAAGTGCATGCAGATTTTATTCTGCCAGGGAGCAAGTCCGAGTGGCTTGCCGCTAGCAAAGGCGAGAAGCCTCTTTCGGAAGTGGTTAAATGCGAAACGCCGCGAGGAGCTGCACAGATACGTACCGAGTCCATACACCTTTGCCACATCTGGAGTCTCATCTGTAGCTGAGTGGCATATTCTTGCACCATGTGTGCAAGGCATTGTACGAGAAAGAATACTGCTCAAGCTCCCACCATGCTTGCGCGAACCACTGCGAGCGAGCCATATCCCTGGAGTATTCGATATTTTCCCGGCTGTTCTGCGGCTCGTGTGCACAAGGGACTTGAACGATGACGTTCTCCAGCTCCTGATCAAGCATGGAGGTATGCCCGGCATAGGTTCAGTTGCGGAGATACCCTTTGTCGACAATCAGCTGCACGACGGGCCAACCTGTGAGTGCAGCGTGAAGCTCACAGCTGAGCAGCGAGAGCACCGCCTGGAGGACGTGATCTGTCTGCAGAGGCAACCGCTGCAACTCGCACAGCTGTGCCGCTCGACAGTCATCGACGCATTCCGTGGGGCCATCAGCGAAGACGCGGTCAACGCACTGGGCCTCCCGCCAAAGCTCGCGGCCTACCTGCGCTTCGAGTAAATGGACTGTGAGGGGCTGGTGAACAGAAACACACACACACACACACACACACACACACACACACACACACACACACACACACACGCGCGCGCGTATTGGTTAGCTCTGTAAAACGTGTTATTGCAGTAGTGGTTACAGTTCATTCGAAATCTGTGCTTGGTTTCAACATTCCGCCTATGCTCATGCCAGTCGGTATCGTGGTAGTGTTAAGTGGTATGTATAAGAATCAACACCGTACAGTCTGTCATCATTGCTGCTCTCAGTGCGCTGTCCGCACAACCTCCACAACAGTGTGTTGCTGTGCGTTACTGTGTGTTGCTGTGCGTTACTGTGTGTTACTGTGCGTAGCTGTTTGTTGCTGTGCGTAGCTGTTTGTTGCTGTGCGTAGCTTTGTGTTGCTGTGCATAAGTTAGCTGTGTGTAGCTGTGTGTTGCATGCTGCGGGCACTGTCCCTCTCATTCTATACAGCTGTGTGTTGCTAAGCGTTATCCCTGTCGTTGGCTACAGAGTATAGTGTACTGTTCTGCTCCGGTTTTAATCATCATAATTATGCTGTCACTGAAGAATAATTGATCTTTTTTTGGCTCCCGGTATGTTCAATATGCCGGGGCTGTGTGTTCAGAAATTTTCAAACTTGTGACATTGTATGCATGGCTGTATGTGGTCACTACTTCAACTGCAGCCTGTAGTGCTCAAGTTCAGTGCTGCTGCTCAGTCGGAAGTCCGCTTGCGCGAGTCAAGTTTGCACACTAGGGAGGTTAAGATGCACGTTATTTCCGACGTGACGCGTAATTTCACGTCAAATTTGGCGTATAACTCCAAATTTCGATGTGCGCTGCAGGTCACTCGCGTTGCTTTTCGACACGCGAACCAAATAACGCGAGCTGAAGTTTAGCGTCACGTCAGAAATAACGTGCGTCTTAACCTCCCTATTGCATCATTTGGAAGCCCGGTCACGGTTCGCAGGAATCGCAGGTCTTCCAGGGCTGTGCAAAGCCCAGCGTGAACTTGAGTGACTCAGCGGCGGATTTCATTGAGCTGTACTATACTATGTGCACATGTAGTAGTGGCGGTCTCAGAGTGCCAATACTTATTATCTACATGTACCGTGATGTAGTACTGACTGAGTACGAGGTCAATAATACATGTAGGAAATAAAGGACGAGTAAAAGACCGAGGCGATGCCGAGGTCTTTTCGGTGTTTTTTTATTTCTGAGTTTGAAGTGTACGGACGAGTAAAAGATCGAGGCGACACCGAGGTCTTTTCGGTGTTCTTATTTCCTATACTGACCAAGCACACAAGTCAAGAGAGAGATTGGAAGCTTTCTTACAACTCTGAGATTCACGTATTACAGTCGACCTACCCTTATAACGATATTTGCGTCACACCAAGAAATATTGTTATAAGGGTAATATTGTTATAGGGGTAGCTGGTTCATTTCATACACATAAGTCATAATGCATGGATTTTGTTCATTTTTTACACTCTTCATAGCATAAAAAACTGACCTACATGCACATTATGTGCACAGAAAGGTGCCCATTGGTGCCCCATTGCATTTCGTCATGTCCCAACGACTTATCAAGTGAAGCTTGCCCTACCTGGATAGTAGGCTCTACATATTCCCTGCTAGATATTGTTATAAAATGGAAAATGTCGATTGGTCAGCCTATTTTATATCGTTATAGGGGTAATATCGTTATAGCAATATTGTTATAGAGGTAAGGCATTGTATACACAAGTCAATGGAGTGATTTGGTTTGGCAGAAAAATATCGTTATAAGGGTAATATCGTTATAGAGGTTATCGTTATAAGGGTAGGTCGACTCTACGATCATCAGGCAACTGACTATACTGACCAAGTATGAAGTCAATATTAGATTTATCACGACTAGCCAAAGCCTGTGTTCAATCCCTAAAAAGGAGTCGCAGTCAAGTGATAAAGTCATAAGAACAAAATAACGTAGATCTATAATGTAGATCTAACAAAAGATAATGTAGATAATGTAGATCTAACAAAATAATGTAGATCTAATTGTAGATCTAATTTTGTAATAAAAAAAACAGGGCAGGATCAGGATCTAGGATTAGGAATGGAAGTAACCAACCAACGACTACCACATACGCGTACAGCATGTGTCATTGTAAATTTGTATACATGTACTACAAAAGTACAATCATTATTGTAGTAGTTTGAGTTGTCTTGTCTCCGGGTCAACGGCTGACCGCTCTGGCTCGCCAAACTGTCAAACATTGTTGTTGACTGTTGAGTGTAACTACTAGTGTCGAGTCCCAGACTGGACAGCGTTCATGTTGTCTAGGCAGGCCATGCCTGCATGCCATGCCATCATGACCCATCTCGCATCCGGATATACATTGTATATCCGTAACTACCGATACTACCACTCACTACACTAGTCTAGTCTAGTACAGAGACTACAGTCAGTAGATCTACGAACAGCTGTAGTTGAGATGCACAGCGCTAGCGTTGCTGCTCGCCCCGTGCTGGTTGACTAGCTAGCGTAGCTGTAGAGTGTAGTGTAGCCGGTAGGCGCTACAACGAAGTAGGGCTAGCTATACACGGCTGTCCGCGGCTGACCAGATTACAATATGGCGTCGTTCCACCGGGTTTTAGAGAAGTTTTGGAAACTCGATGCGAATCGGTAAATTATTGTGAATAGTAACAAAACCAAGTTGGTTTTCAGTATGATTCGACACAAAAAACGCAAACAGTTGAAGATCGTTTGAAAATTTGAAAGAGGAGCATGATCTAGTGCTCGTGCTTCAAATGTTTTTCTTTGGAGCGTTGGAAATACAAACACGAAGACAGACATTGCTGTCACCACGCTGTCTTCTTACCTGTTTACGAGGAGACTGAACCTTGGTCCTCGGCTTTCCTCTTCTGTGGACGAGGAGCCAGCGTACTGGCTTCTTTGGTGGTTGTTAGCAGATGCTGCTCGGCGACAACTTTCAGCCTGGCGAGGTCTCCTGGTATGTTTTTCTAGATGGCGTTGAGGGTGTTGAGACTGGCGTGCAAGCTCTCTGCCCCTTGCTCCGCGAGCAGGCCCAGACCAACGCCAAGTTTCCTGATGAGCGGCACCGTATGATTCTCTAACAGGTGAAGTTTCGGCGTGATGTTTCCAAGTCGCCGTGCCACAACGTGTCGTCTGCACATACTCAAGAAACGCCGAACTTCAGACTCCAGCTGATCCATCTCGTCTGCTGAAACTGCCTGGCTGTGACTGAAGATAGCTCGACAAGAAGCGTAGCTGTTCATCAGATTCTCGTGTAAAGATGCTATTGTTTGGGCCTCCTCCGCCAGGACTGGACACCTGGACGTGAGGACTGGTACGTGAGCATGGCTGATGGCAGTGACCACGGTGGGCTTCAAGGCTTGGTGGACGTGATTGCCGATGAAAGCACCACCGTGGTACACTTGACGTTCGATCTTGTGGTGTTGGAGAACAGGCTCCACAGAGGCTACGCATGGGCCACTGAAGTCCTTACTGCAGCATAGCTTGGCGATTTCGTCCTTCAAGGCGTCGACAGTCGAAGTGTGTTGCTGGGTCTTCGTAACTGCTGCCGTGCCTGAATGCCATGTCAAGCTTTCAGGCAATCGTGCCTGTCACTCTCATTGAGGATGTCGAGGAAGTGCATGACAACAGCGACAAGGTCTGGAAAAAATACAGTGGCAGCCATGGAGACATCGCCATTCCGCTTCGACATCGGCAGCTCTGTAGCGGTGTAGCTGGGCAGCGTCTTCGTGATGAACTCTCGTATAGAACACTCAGACTCCAACTTTACTCCGAAGACCTTGAGCCACTGCCGCAGCTTCCTCAATTGGCTCCATGGCAGTCGAAGGTCTGCCTGAGCTCCTCCTGTGCAGCTGATGAGAGCCGCTTCAGCCCAGCAATCATTTGCACTCGAGCTCCATCCGATCCACCACAAACGGACTCTGCAATTCGGGTCAACTCAGCAGCGCGGCGTTTGAGTGTTGATGCAGACGCATCGGTTGACGGTACACTGCACTCTGGTGTTAGCTGGTAAACTTGCGGTTTGCCCCTGCCTCCTTCGCCAGTTTTCACCTCCAGCCTGCCACCCTCTGCCCTAGCCGTGACCAGACGTGCAGTGAGGTTGGTTGCCACATTGCCCTTAAACTTCGACAGAGAAGCACTGAGAACCTCAGCCACTGTTGACGATGGGCGCACAGAGCGGATAGGTGTCGTGCTCGGCGGCGGGCTACGTGCTGTGCTGCATGATGGCGTCTCTGCGGGATTGAACGGGCACATGTTGACATGACGTTGCAAGTCATGCAGCGGCACGACTTCAGGACATCCACGTAGCGATGGCTCGTGGAAGTCGCAGTGTATGGACTGGCTGCTGACAACCCTGGTTAGACTAATGCTGGGCGTGCGCATCGATGATGCAGCCATGTCAGCGCTGCAAGACTTGCATGTGTTATTCGTGCTGATGCATTCGCTTATGCACTCTGCACAACTCGGATCATTGCAGCATGCTGTTTCCAGGATACCGTCTGCGGTAGTCTGACAAATGATGCAAATTTGCACCGCATTTCTGTCTAAAAATCTGTCCCTGTCAAGCGGCAGTGTTGCACGATGTTGTCGCGCTGCTCTTGATTGTATGCATTCTGCACTGTTATCTAGACCACTTACACTGCTGGTGGCTGGGTGCTGCCAGGAGTGCGGCACCTCGCAATGCTGTGTTCGGTTTTGCATGGTGCGCGCTTGCGCCCCTTTTTTTCTGGCTTGCACACACAGAGCAGTTTGTGCGATGGTGTGGCTCCCATTTGGTGACAGGTCCACAGCCACCTCCACAATGTTCTGCCTTTCTACTGGCTCTCTTTAGGGGTCGCTCGCACAGAATACAGATGTACGGTGGGTGGATGTCTGAGCAATCTTTCGAGATTTCATTGCCATGTACATATTTCAGCAGATCACTATATTTTTCCACACTATATCTGGTAGACTGCTGGAAACAGGAAAACTTTCTGCCACCGACTCGGCAGACTTCTTGCTGTAGCGATTTATGCTCATCCATGATCACCCTACGTCCTCACAACGACTGAAGAGTAACACAATTGCAGTTACGATCCAGTAAGTGTGGGAAATACCAAAAGTTTGGGAATATTGCAAACGCAAGTCACACGGAATTGATGCACGTCACGGAACGAAATTTTCTACAGCACCAGAACGGACACTTACCTACCCGATTCCAAATTATCTAAACGATACTCAAATCTGGGGATACTATTTGGGGCACAAACGTTGGCTCAAATTCTGCACGACGAACGTCCCAGGAGAGGAAAACAAACGTCCTCCAGAGACAAGAAAACAAATCGAAGCAGTGGTCGCGCGGCATGTACGCGGAGCTGAGGGAAAGGCAAAGCCGAAAAATCGAAAACTCAGGGCAAACCAAGCTGATTGGAGACGAAAAGTGGCGAAGTCTGTGGAATACTTAGCTGTCTAAAGCAATTCCTGGACGAAAATCATGAATTTTTACGCGTTCTCGGCCGCCATATTAAATGGGCCAAAATCGCGCAAAAAAACAGCCGTGCGCTAGGGCGCTGGAGCTCGAGCACGCATGCAGCACGCAAGATGAGTGTGTTTGTCTGAAACGAATCAGCTCCCTTATAATCCCAAACTCAAGGGCTTCCTGCCATTGTTTTTGTTCCTATCGGCATCGATGACATGCAAAGCTAGTCCTGACTTGTTTGTCACTTGTAGATATTTTTCACAAACCCAATCCCTGTGGAAGTGTCCTGGTGTTGTCCGATGGCTCCTAGTCGCTGAAAATATCTAGAGGTTAGATTGTCTATTTAGAACGTCATTTGAATTTTAGATTGTGTTTGAACACAATTTCTTGGAATAATGGAGGCGTTCGTGACGTTGACCACCAACGCTGCTTACAGCAAAGGTGCAGTCACGTTGGGCCAATCATTGCGCAATGTCGGTACCACGCGAAGGCTGGTGGTTCTGGTCAGCTGCGGAGTTCCCCCATCTGCTCGGTACGTTTGCACTCGAATTGAATTGAATTGAATTATTTGCTCAAAACGCTCCGTCGAGTGCTTTTCAGTTCCACGTTGTAGAAACGCGTGGAGAGAGCACGCATAATACTGCGATAATCTTTGATTGACAAAAGACCTGGTACTTCTGCGGCAGTGCACAATACATACACGATGCTGTAGGCTCAGTGTAACCTTACTGTCTTCATACTCAAGTGTTTCCTGTACCTACACAGGGGCGTCGGAAGGTATTTTAGGGTGGCACGGTCAGTCATCTGAAGTACCGTTTACTTGTGGGGAAGGGATGGCGGAGGCGAAATTTTGGAAATTTAGAGTCCAGATCAGTGTATTTTATTGATTCACGGGGTACCTGGGGCAAAAAGTGGTACGGTCAATACCGTAGTGGCCGTACCGTGTCCGACGCCTCTGCTATGACAATGAGTAGACATTGCATCACCAGTACACCAGTACATGTAGGAGTAACATAGTCGTTAGCTGCACAATCATCATGTACATGTGTTGAAGGGGAAGTTAAGTCTAAAAGTTAAGCCTAAAAGTTAAGCCTGAAAATCAAATTTTCACCAGTTGCAGTCTTCGGGGTGCCGAGTCAAATGGTCTTGGTCCGAGGAAGCTGAGACACTCCCTTCCCCCTTTAATCCCAATCGAACTCACGCACTTCCACCGAAACTGGGTGACTGCGCCCTACTACAGTGCTGGTAACTGAAATCCGACCCCCCCCCCCGGGCGGTGGGTTCACATTCTTTGCGATGTGAGCTCACCGCTCAGGGGGTCGGATTTCTGTTACCAGCATTGTAGATGGGGAATTGTATGCAAAATGTCACTAAATCACCATTTCGTTCTTATAAAAGCAAGGATGACCGTGACTGGCCCGTATGTTGTAGTCTTTTGGACGCTGCGTCGACTGGTTTTGGTCCGAAAAGGCTGCGATGCAGCGTTCGGGCCTTATTTCCAATCAACCATGGTTGAACAAGCGGTCACGTGCTCATGCATACACCAGTCACCTGGTCACCGCGCCAGCAGGCGACAACTTTCACACCAAGGTTCAACTCGAGTGACAGGAATGCACCCAAGCAGGCGCTGATCTTAATAGCGGCATGCATCTCGTGCCGGGCAGTATTGTGGCCCGTGTACTCTAGATGTGTTCTTCCAGAGTCATTTTCGTGTAATCTTTCATGGGCGGCGCACGGGTAGTAGGTAATAGTCATGAGGCTCTGCTGTGCGTGAAACGTAGAGAACGGGTATCCGCGTTAGAATCTACGGCTTCGCGTGTTTTGAGTCCAGATTTCTACGCGGAGATGAGATTCTCTGCGTTGTGGCACGTGCAAAGAAAATGCGTACAGATCTCCTGGGCGGCATTCACGTCAGGGAGAAAACTACCAAATTTGGAACGGGAAAGTCCCAGTACACATTCCATGTGATTTCTTTTTCGTGAACGCAGAGCGGAACAAGTTTCCTATACGTTACGGGAACTCATTGTATTGTCTGCCCTTGTCTGTGGTGTTCAGGGATGACTTGGCAAGCGTCTGGGATGAGCTGATAGAGGTAGATGTTATGAACACACCCAATCCGGAAAATCTCGACCTGTTTGGTCGGCCAGAACTCGGCGTGACTCTGACCAAGCTCTATGCTTGGAAGCTGACCATGTACCAGAAATGTGTCTTCCTTGACGCCGACACCTTGGTAAGTGCATAATCATGCTAGAGTATGCATGGAGCACATGTACTTGGTTCCGTTGGTGTTTTCTTTAAGAAAAAGAGAGTAAATCCTAGTAACAACATCTCTCCTGTGGTTATGCCTGAAAAGGAATACTTTGCTGTTGTGTCGAACATTGTTCTCTGACGCTAGGTGTTACAAAATATCGATGACCTATTCACGAGACCAGAGCCATCAGCCGCTCCGGATGTTGGCTGGCCAGACTGCTTCAACTCTGGTGTTCTAGTTCTCGTGCCCTCACTGAAGACATACGATGAATTAATACGATTGCTGGCACAGAAGGGAACGTTTGATGGTAGGTTTGGAATGCCACTGCTGGGCCACTGTAGTTGCTGCGGTAATCCTCGCATGCATTACAACGCAGCAGACATGTGTCTGTGTGCGTGCCGGAGTCCGTGTGTGTGTGTGTCGGAGTCTGTGTGCGCGCATGTGCCATTGCTGCTTTTGTTCAAGTTATGGAAGATGCTGTTGTGAAAACTATCAAGATGTTGCTCAACAGCCTGAAGTGTGTTCTTCTCCTTAGTACTGTAGATACTGCTGTCATGGTAGATAATGCGTCCTTGCTTCAAGTCAACCACCTGCTGCGGCCCTTGTTTGCATGCATTGTGTTGCCACACAAGTCTCCACACTTTCAACTGTTTCTATGTTTTGTCATAGGTGGCGATCAAGGCCTGTTAAATTCCTACTGGAGTGACTGGTCGACGCTGGGGGCCCGCCATCGGTTACCGTTCACCGACAATCAGACTGTTTCGCCAGTGTATACATACGTGGCAGCGTGTAAACAGTACGTAATGATCAGAGAACATGGGGTTGTATGTGTCCCAATGCTTACACAGTAGAAATGTTCCTCCGCTTACGCACACACCTTTGACCTTTTGACGCCCATCGCCGGAGGCGATGATAGCAATGCTACGGCAGAAGCCATAGCAACTTGTGCTGGGATAGCACCATTCAACAGCTTGCAAGGCTGAAGAATTGACCGTCACTATTCAGCCTGGTCTACACCATACAGCTATTTGAACTTTGAAGTGACTTTTTCTGGCCAGTGAACCCCTATTTTTGGTCTTTTCATTTTTTTCCGCACACACCACATATTCCGACATGCACTGGCTGTTGGTGTGTCCCACATGGTGCAGTGTTATGTGCAGCGATTTCCGATCGATAGGTTGCGGGTTCGATTCCCGACGATTATGGTCACACACGTCTTTCTTCTCTTTCTCAGGCTCTTCCTGACTTTTCTTTCATTCTCCTGGGTGGTTACCAACGCACACACACACACAAATACACACAAATACACACACAAACGCACACACACACACACACACACTCAATGCCGCAATGGACAGAGCTTCCTTGCAAATATGTAGAACGAGGTTTTATTGTGACTCACGCTTACGCAATAATCAGGCGAAATCAAGTACAGTACAAGTACATGCATTCTAATATCAAACGGGGAAAGCGGGCTCTTTTTGTTGCAAATAAAAAGGGAAAGGGAGTGAACGGATTGCTTCAAGTAAAACTAATAATGATACTTGTACATGATGCCGATTGCAACTCTTTCAAGCTTATGCAGCACAGACAGCGGTACAGTGTCAGTATACGTGTTCTCACATGCTTGTCACACACTGGAAAGTCGCTAGTTTATAATGACGTTGAGATTGGACGACCATGCAACAATGCTATCAGTACATCAGACGAGACCAAAATAAAATCGAGATTCCTGGGCAGGACTCATGTGAAATTGGTGCGGGCGGGCGAATTTTTATTTTTTATTTTTTTCCCATGACTGTGTGTATGCGCATATGCGCATGCCATGCCGAGCTTTTTTTTACAGTATTTTCCAGTAATTTTTATTTTTTATTCAAATTTCACAAAAAAAAACAGGCACGCGGTTTACCCGTTCCATTTTTCCGTATTTCGGCCAACGATGGTCCTGATCTGTACATCAGGGAGTCGTACAAGCTCGGGTTTGTGTGACTCTACGTCACAGATCTACTCACACGATTAGTACTGTACATGTATACGAACTGTAAAGAACTCTTCCTCTTCCTCTATGAACTGTTTAAAAAAATTGGCTTTGGCTCGATTTTGGTGCGGGAGGGCCCGGGAATCACTAATTTTTTTGGTCTCGCCTCACGTGCTTTTAGAATTTTTGTTTTCGAAGAAAAATTCGTCCCACTCACCACTATCCTGATTTTTCCAAATCTTTCGGACTGTGGGCGTGCGTGTGTGTATGTGTTTGTGTGTGTGTGCGTGTGTGTTGTGTGTGTGTGTGTGTTGTATGTGTATGTGTGTGTGTGTGTGTGTGTGTGTGTGTATGTGCAGACCATCTGGTAAAAGGAGAGCGATCGCTCTCGCGCGCCTTCGCTCTCCTTATTTTCTTTTAGGGCGCACTTTTCGTCGCGCGCCTTGAGAATTTCGAGCGCATCCGCATCACTATGAAGTTCTGAAAACACTCAAATATTTCGTAACTCGGCTTTCACTGAACGGAATCGAGTAATCGAAAGGTCTATTCGCATTAGAAAGTTCTCAGCTGTCGGCTCCAACAAATTGAAAGTCAATCCGAGGTCCAATAGTGGAGGTACGGCACTCGCAAGGTATTTTACGTACCGTTGCAAATTTTCACTTCCGCACTTGGGCGGCAATCATAATTTATTAGTATTTTGATATACATGTAAAGGATTTCCCTCTGTTGCGTGACAGTCCGGGCATGCATAGACTTGTGTGACGCCAGGCAAAGGTCTTTAGCGGTCAGCTACAGAAGAAAGGAGCGCTCTACGATGAATACTACAAAAATGCCATGGATCTTAGGGCCTGGTCAGACTGCGGCAAATTTTGGTTGCCTGACGAAAAAAGAACAGCGTCCAGAATTTAAATCGCGATCACACTACACATGTGTGTATATGTGGGGAGAATGAAAATTCAAACTTCATTTCGAGCGTCAAGTGGTAATCTCCACGAACGACGTCAAATTCCTTCACCTTGTGGATCGCCAACACCTTCAGTGCAATCCTTGCAAACATCCTTATGAGTTTTGTTGTTGTCCGTGGCCAATTAGCTCCTCGATATCGAGATGAAAAAATCAGTGATTATCAGCGTCAATGGCGTATCAGCGTCAAATCCTGTTTGGAGCGGAAAAGGTTGGTCCGTTCTTGCTTTTTTTTTTTGGAGCGTCAACTCTCGCTTTTGCCGCTCTGGCGGCAAGTTAGGGACCATCGCAAAAGTTCGCAGAAGCCCCCGAAACGAAGACCGTGAGTTTCGGGCCTAACCCCCCTCCCTCCCCCCCTCAAACGAAACGACAGTCACAATATGGGCTTCATTTTTTCACTTGGATGCTCACACATAATAATTATTATAATATACTACACAAGCATTGTTGTATCAGTGTGTAACAATGTACAGCACTTTATAAATGCAACGATGATATCACCTTGCAGTGATAATCCTACAGCTCCTATAATTATGTCGTCAATACTTTTTTGAATTGAAGCCCGGTTTGCGATTTTCGCACCGACTCCCCCCCCCCCCCCCCCCCCCCCAAACGTATGCTCTTCGTTTCAGGGGCTTCTGCGAACTTTTGCGATGGTCCCTTACTATGGAGATTCGGATTATAATCCCAGGATTATTTCGATTTTGCCGCAGTCTGACCAGGCCCTAAGCGAATTGTCTCAATTTCCCATTGCGTGTGTCATTGTCTCTGATGAAGGGAAACTAAAGTTGTGGTCCGAACAGCTTTCATTTGTAGTGCGTACAGCGATTTTCCAGAACGAGTTTGGCAGCTAATGGGTATTGAATCCGATTGAGGTATGGCAAGATGTTGAAAAGCCCGTATTGTGCTCGCCTTGGATAGATAAAGCTACAGTCAGTTTCAAAAAGATTAGCAATCCTGGTGATCGCCCGGGGAGTTTGCCGTCTTACCGTATGAGCGCTCGAGCGCTGCCCGGAAAAACTCACTGTGAACTCGAAGAAATATTCCGCGCGAAAGCATGAAAAATGACAACTCACTCAGGTCGATGTCGGTACAGTCGTGTACGTCTGGTTCACAACAAACGAGTTATTATTATTATTATTTAAATTTTGAATAGGGCAATCCCCACAGGCCTAAGGCCTTTTACAGGGTACCCTATGTGATCACGTACAGATTTGCGGAATAGTGAAAGCGAGGAGCAAGAGCGAATGTCAGCTGGAAGAGAATTCCAGCGGTCAGAAGCCAGAAAGCTCAAAGCGAATAAGCCATAACGATTGCGTGCTTTAGGCAGAGCAAGTGAATCTATGGACTGGGAACGTGTACGGGCAGCTGTGTGTGTTGCGGCAGAACGAAAGCAGAAGCAATCAGAGAGCAGAGTGCTACACATGCCACGTAGGGCCCGAAAGACAAGAATATACAGTTTAAGCTGATAGCGCTGTGCAATAGGAGCAAGGCCATATCTGGTGTGTAAGACTGAAACATCATAGTGCCAAGGGAAACCAAAAACAATCCTAACAGCGCGGTTAGCAATACGAGTTAGTCTATCATGTTGTGTGGTGTGAAGGCAGTGTACAAACGCATTAGAAGTACCATACTCGTTCTTCCTCGTATCGATTATGGAGTTAGAGAGGACATGTCGAAAGTGTAGTAAATGCCGAGGCTGACGAGCGGCATGGGTCCCAATACGTTTTGTGACCAAATAGTTTCTTTGAGCTGCGATGCAATTTACTCTCACCATGTGACGAAAACGACATCGACACAGACTCATTCCCAAGGCCATGACTTGGCGAAGCTATCCGTATGACTTCGACAACATTTTGAGAAAAGCAGACGCCTGTGGAAGCTGATAGAAGACGGCGTTGACTTCTAAATTCAAATAAATTGGCGATCTTGAAATACTAAAATAATCGGCCTGGGGTGTCCCCAGCCGTCCAGGCCAACAGTGCCTGAGGTGGGGTATTCACCGACAGGAGACTTGGTCGGATAGTTACGATGCCGACACTCTCCTCGTCGCCCCCACCTCAGAGTCCTTCGCGAGGCCTTGCAAGCCCGCGAGTGGAGCAAACTACCGCACGAAGACGACAACTTGGAACGACTCTGAGCATTGGCTCATGGAATGTTTGCTCTGTTGTGGAGAGTGATGGACCAGTTCGAGCGGCCGCCGTGAGAGGAATCGTTTCCGATAGTGGTGAAACGAATGTCAAAACCTAGTAACCGAATATTCTTTGGCTTATCGAACGAACGTACGAATATTCTTTAATTTCTTTTGGTATAAACAGAGATGCCATCACATGCCCTCCTCTCAGTCATTTGATGGATATTGTCATTATTATTAGGTATGACAAATGGTAGTGCCACATAAAATGCACTGCCACATAAGGCTACTTCGAAGTTCATATGTTTGCTACATTGGCAGTCCAGTATTCACATGCATGAGAAAACATGGAGTACAAAGTCACATGCAGGCTGTACGCACTGCACTGTATTGTGTTCGGTGTGCTTGTATATACATGCACTGCATTCGAAGTGACGTAACGAATACTCGAATGTGACTTAAAGAATATTCGAATGTGACAAACCGAACGAATGTTCGAATATTCGAATATTCGTTTCACCACTAGTTTCCGACGATAAGAAAATCTTTCAAATAGTTGAACATCTTGACAATGTGTGTGTTCTCTGCTCTGGTGGAGGACGGTTGTACTTTTCCGGGCTCTTGTTTCTGGCCTCCGTCCGTGCTTGTTCTCGCCGTTGTGGACGGCCTGGGGTGTCCCCAGCCGTCCAGGCCAACAGTGCCTGAGGTGGGGTATTCACCGACAGGAGACTTGGTCGGATAGTTACGATGCCGACACTCTCCTCGTCGCCCCCACCTCGGAGTCCTTCGCGAGGCTTTGCAAGCCCGCGAGTGGAGCAAACTACCGCACGAAGACGACGACTTGGAACGACTCTGAGCGTTGGCTCATGGAATGTTCGCTCTGTTGTGGAGAGTGATGGACCACTTCTAGCGGCAGCCGTGAGAGGAATCGTTTCCGATGATAAGCCAGATCCATAGCTGTAGGAGATGGCTCTCTCGAACATGGTCCCGCTCGTCGTTCTATATTGTCGGCCCCGTAAGGGGACACGTGACCGTAATGGCAGTGTTTACCAGGACCAGGTATGTGTGTTAGTCATAGCCCAAATTTGCTAGCAATTCTTTGAGCAAAATATCGGATGCGCAAGTTGCCGGCAAGTTTTGAGCAAAATATCGAGTTTTGGTGGGCTTTTCGGAAAATCCAAGGCTTCTTAGGGACTTTCCCAACACAATCAGTAATCAAGGTTTAAAATGAGCACAAAAGTTGGACAAAGCAGACTCGTGGCTACATTTTTGTAGAAAGGTGAGCAGCAGCAGAAGCTCAATCAAAAATACCGGCGCCATCAGCGACAATTATCGTTGAGTTTTCCTTGAAACTCATTTTATCTCGAGCAAAACCAAAGCAAAATACCGACGGAGAAAGGAAATGCCAAGCAGAGTATCGAAAATGTTGTGGCAAAATTGTGCGGCAAAATATCGATGAAGGCTGAGCAAATTTGGGCCATGACTAATGTGTGTGTGTGTGTGTGTGTGTATGTGTGTGTGTGTATGTGTGTGTGTGTATGTGTGTGATGACATTGCCGGTGTGCATAGGTATGGCCATCGTGCGCGAGTACTGCACTTCTTGGGCACACTGAAGCCCTGGCACCATGCGTACAGCTCCAAACACAGACAGTTGTACTTGAACGCTGACTCCGGTCCTGATCAGCGAGGTTCGGTTGAGCAGTTGAAGAAGTGGTGGTCTGTGTATACTCAGTGGGCCGACAAAACCGACCAGGTAAGAAAGGCAGCAGCTGATACACTTCATACACCCATTCATCAAGTTCTAGACTCGTGACTTTTTGGATGTACTGTAAAGTACCGCGAGAGCGCCCCACCATCTCGTCCTGTCGTGGTCATATTGTGGCGGTGGTGTTCTGTCTGTAGGTCGGACGATACGAACCTTATACACACATTGCACGTTGTGCAGTCAATCCGTACTCGAATTTATCTTCGAGTGGACACGAGCTCCACACAATAACCTGCAAAGTGTTACCTACGTACACTATGGTTCTCACACCGTACAAACTTCGTTGCATTCTGCCATACAATTTTCCTTTCCCTGGCTGTAAAATCAAGGCAGGGCGCTCTCGCGGTACTTTACGACACATGTTGTAGTATATGACACTCTGTACTGGTGGTTGTGTGGCCCTGGCTGCTTTTTATCTTTCCGTTCCATTCTTAACACCACTCACAGTACATGTACCCACGTGTTTAGATGTTTACCGTTACGAAACACGCCAACATGTCCTCTTCTAGTGATATAGAGGTTATGCGAATGATGTCAGAGGGGGGGGGGGGGGGGAGAGAGAGAGTCAGCAGAACCGCTTATGGGCGCTGAGTATTCAGTATGAGTTGCTAGTGCAAGTGCAGCGCTGTGCTGCGACTGCGCTACAGCATCTCAAGTTCTCAACTGATGATGTGATGGCATAACCTCCATATGAACAAGTACGTAGAAGGTTTGGCTAAACGTCCAGACAAGTGTTCAATGCCGTGAATAAGGAAATAAGTGTGTTGTTTGCTTGAATGTTGCTATAGCCATTGTCAAGTGCTGGTCAGCATTCCAGCGTGTCAACACTTGAAGTTGCCGCGTCATCCCCGTCATCCACCAGTACACCGGCACCAGCATCTAGTCGCATGGCAATGCAGCAGTCATCATCGCGTGCAGCAGCAGCACTGACACCAGCGCCGACTTGGGACGAGCAGCGTGACCGCGACAGTCGACAGCGCTGGGAGCAGGGCAACCCGGACTACTACGGCCAGGAGAACTTTGCCAACGTCCAGGCTCACCTGCAGAAGATGCTGTCAAGTCCGCCAAGTGACCATGGTGCTGGTAGTGGACACTAAGATGCTGTCAAGTCCGCCAAGTGACCATGGTGCCGGTGGACACTAATTACCGTAGTTGTGCAGCGTGCATTGGCAGCAGCCTGTGCTCTGCATCATGAACTAGGCACCGACTAGTAATATATTTGACCGACCGGAGAAGTGGATCCGTTCATCTTAGTGTTTGTGCGCCGTCGCCGTGGTCACGAATAGGACTGGCATACGTGTGTGTGAATATCACTTGTGTTGTGGCTGCTGCCGGTCTTGTCTCTGGAGTGCCACGTTTCCGTGTTCTGTGATGTGCCGGAAATGATGCTGACTCTTGACATGACACTGGACAGCGCTTCTACACACAATGGAGTAGGTTGCTCGTGACCTGTCTGTCTTGCTCACAACTGTATCCCGTCAGTCCCCTCCCCCCCCCCCCCCCCCCCCCCAGCAATGGGACGGCTCTTTCCGATGACCTGATGCCGCACTCCGGGAACACAGTCTCGACGTTTAGGCTAATCGTTTGGCACCATCACACACGTTGTCTTAACTGTGTTGTCCTCGCGTCCACAAGCCTGAGGGGTTGGGCAAGATGGCCGTAGACTGCCTTAGCGGTTCTTTTCCTAGTTTTATGCGTCGGTGTGCGAATGTTGAATAATAGGTTTATCTAGATCCCATCCCCGCTTCCTTTTAGCACAGGCCATGCCCAGCAGCACATGAGCTTGGGTACTAGATTCATTTCACATGCACTCGCATTAGCACTGTGTTTATTTTTTATTTTTTTTATTTTTACTGAGTGCAGCAAATGCTTGCATGCTCCATGCATTTGTTTCTTATATTATTTTATTCTATTACTGAGTTTGACCGGCCTTTTAGGTGCATACGTCGAATCACAGCCGTATATTTCCAATTGTTCAAGTACTTAACCCTGTATGTCTTTTATCAGAATTCTTACCGTACTCATTCGAATTTGCCAACCCAGCGGGGAGTAGTAAAATACCGGTATCTCACTACTCCCTGGTGCATAGCATGATTTTGGTTGCATTTTCTAGCGCCGGCGCGCCATTCAAACTTTTGTTCCCCTTACATGTACATGCTTGTATTCATAATTATTAGCATGGAATGTAGCCAGCCCGATGTCAGCCACCGTCGCCTGATGATCAGTGCTTTTGCATGACTTGAAGCATGGAGTCCTAAAATATGACTCCCCGACTCGAAGTGCAAGGGACACGTTCACTGTCACCCCTCCCCACTACTGCACAGCACTGTGACACATGTAATTACAACCAGCAATGTGTCATGTTGTTGGTTGACGGCATGTTTCAAGGCGGAGGGCGTACTGTGTTCGGAAACAGTGCCCCTTGCTACAACCCCCACGGTTGTCAGAGTCCTGGTCTTGCAATCATTTGAACCGTATGGGTGTAAACCCTGTTTCTGACCCTCATTCTGCTAGGGAGTTGTTTGAGTCTTCTGGGTTTTTGTTTGTTATTGAACTGTCAGGCGTGTATTCGTCGCTCGTTCTTGGATGTCTTCTTTTTAAAATTCCTCTTGATGCTTAGTCCTTTTTGAAGCATTTGTTCTTTATTGTTTCTCTTATGTGTGTTCTTCTTTCTTTTCTTTTTATGCTCTGTACTGTATTTCTCCACCTCCTACCCATGGTGTCCTTCTCTCAGCCCGGCTAGCCCGGCGGCGTCAGCTGACACCAGTTCCAGTCACCACCATCACCATGACAATGTCGTGAGACGGTGCTCTCTGTAGATGAGGTTGGTGATGTCCCAACGCAGCCATGGCCATATGGGTAGGCCTTCACCATGCACGTCGGAATACCCCATTTACACGTTGGTGTTGTCCAATATTTGGCATTATTTGTACATCAAAATTCCTGCATACAGTGTACATGTATTACCGTAAAAGTCCGTAAATAAGTACCTGCCCGAGAAAAATACCCCCTTCATTCTTTTGGCTCTGTCTGTTAAAGTCAAGTCAAGCCCGATAAACATACTGCCCGAGATAAGTACCGGTACGGTGCGCACATGCAGCACGTAGCATATACATCGACATGAAAATGACTTCTCCACTACACACAAGTCAGGTCCGAAAGTTAGTTCGCGCCCGAAAGTCAGTACCCGCCCGAAAGTTAGTACGGGTGTGGTCACTAAATTCGAAAGTAAATACGTACTTATTTACGAGTGATAAAGCCTCTTGTACGGGCAAACGCAACACAATGATGAGAAACCAGGGTATGATAGGAAGATAATATTAAAAATACTACACAGGTGTGGAAAATATGTCTCCGGAATGGCGAGAGTCACACTAAAACACAAATGGTTTTAGATCCGGCTTTCAACCACTGCCAGCTCCCTGAGCTCGTTAGCTGGACGATGGTATGCCGACCGAGACCCACGGACACACATGACAGCGGACCGGAGCAGCGCGAAAGACAGCCTGCAGCGCACATATGCAACATGGTGTGCATAGGGCATGCTGGAATCAGCCCTGGCAAGCAAGCCACAGAGGCGCTTAAGTTAAGGAACCTTTCACATTCAGGGGCGGCAACACCAGAAGTTGACAACACCAGCGGGCTGAATGTGCCACGATCCACATTGAGGATTCGCTCTCCGTACTGCAGCTTCTTCTGGCGCTCGTGCTGAAGCAGTAGGGCATCCAGTGGTTGGGCCGAGTAGGACGCCGCATCAGGATGGAAGACGCGTACATCAAAGAAAGCATCCTGTGCTCGGGTCCAGAAGCCACGGGCACGGACATCAGCGCGGGCATCCTCGGCGGTGTTTGTTGATGCAGCCATAAACACCTCTCCAGAGAGCGGGGCTAGCTGAGGCTCGATTGCCACTGCGTGGCAGACCTCCGTGAGTAGCTCCCCTACCATGTCACGGACTTCGTTATGGCGGATTGTAGGGAAGCCACCCCGGGGCAACACATGGCATGAGAAGTGGAGAACAGAACTCCGCAGGCACACTTCGTGGGGACATCGAGGAGAGGCCAGTCATACCGCAATGCAAGGCCGTCCCTGAACTCCTGCTTCGAGAGGTGGAACCCATGTTCCTTGAGAGGAAGAGCAGTGAGCCAGGAAGAGGGGCCTTTGCGGGCTTATTTACGGACTTTTACGGTATACCGTACAAATTTCTTTCTCAATGTTACTGGTATACATCAAAATGATCTACTGAAGTAGATCGCGCCCCCATCCTACCAGGGTGTAGTAAGATACTACTCCCTGCTTTGTGCTACCAAGAGTGTGATTACTCTTGGGACTCAAAAGTCCCTGGCACACCTTGGCAGATAAATGCTCGAAAATTGGCCCGCATGGCAGATTCTGCTTGAAAACGTTGAAATTGGCCGAGAACCATACAAAGCCTCGGGTAACAGGTGTACAATGTATCATTTTATCAGTCATTACGTATGAGTGTGATAATAATAATAGTCCATGGACCCCGTCTACAAAGCCTCGGGTCAGTTCATCTCATTGAAATAATTAATTCTTTTTCCATATACATGTACATGCAGCAATCATGCATGAAATGATTATTATTATTATTATTTCGAAAGAAAAGGTGACAGCACCGACGCAATCCACACAGTCAAGTAAGCCAATTTCGTAACCGAACGTTTTCGTTCCCTTCTCATCATGGGTAAATTCAGGGAATAATGGAGATATGTCAAATACAGCAACTTATAGAGCAAAAGCATACAATGTAGATTGAGAACTCATGCTATACGTGTGGAAAAAATAGAATTCAGCTGAACAAGTCAACAACAGTGTGAAGGTGAAGAAATGACTAAAACATAATGAAAACATCAATGAGAAGAAGCATTCCTGACACTTTCACGAGGATTAGCGCCAAACAGCTGAAGTGACAAAACATTTTCCTTCTGGACACACAGTTCAGGGGACAACTTGCGAATATAACGCTTCCAAAACAGACAAATGTAATACAGATCTGCCACGGGCCAAAACTGAGAAAACATCATCTCTGTACAACGTTATTCGCTTCGAATATATTATATTCTTAATATATTATATTCGAAGCGTTATATATTCGCGTTATATATTCGCAAGTTGTCCCCTGAACTGTGTGTCCAGAAGGAAAATGTTTTGTCGCTTCAGGTGTTTGGCACTAATCCTCGTGAAAGTGTCAGGAATGCTTCTTCTCATTGATGTTTTCATTATGTTTTAGTCATTTCTTCACCTTCACACTGTTGTTGACTTGTTCAGCTGAATTTTATTTTTTCCACACGTATAGCATGAGTTCTCAATCTATGCTTTTGCTCTATAAGTTGCTGTATTTGAGATTTCTCCATTATTCCCTGTATTTACCCATGATGAGAAGGGAACGAAAACGTTCGGTTACGAAATTGGCTTACTTGACTGTGTGGATTGCGTCGGTGCTGTCACCTTTTCTTTCGAAATTGGATACTCCTCCAAATTTTTTCCTTGCATTACTATTATTATTATACCAGAGAAGTACCAAGTGCCAGTTTTTATACTGGCATTATTTACGAAGGCCTACTGAACAACAACAACAATGGTGCCATCGTGAGAATAAAGAATTCAAACAACGAAAATTTATCGAGTAGTTTATGTTGAAAGGGTACATACCAGAGAGTCTTAGGGTGCGTTCTTAAATCCTCTCGGAAAGGTTGGAGACTCTCCGGAAAGTAAGTTTGAGAGCTGTTCTTATATCCTCTCCGACTTTTAGGAGGCTCTCCAAAGCTCTCCAAGCTTCAGAGGTGGTTGAAACTTGGAGATTCCCGCGGTTTGGGATCAGTGCATGCGAACTACGACTAAAAGCCACGTGTTCATCATGAGTGTACGCATTTCCCTTTTCGCACACGTGCATTGTACATGTATACATTCGTGGCACTCAAGATCGCGGCCCCTTTGGCGCTTCATTTTGCTTGACATGTGCAAAATAGGGCGGTTTTGCTCTACGGAATTACGTATGAAAATAACGTAGGAACTGCACGGAATTTTCATACGTAAAAATCAGAGCTGCTGAGTTTCGCTCTACGTGATTTATCCACGACTGCTAAACACGGGTTGTTGCTTTGGAGACACGTAGGCTGCATGCGCCCACCGCATGCACCATGAACCGAAACCGCGTTTTCCATCTTATTTTGCACGTGGTGTACGGTGGTTGTACCTTGTGTTTCGCGCGGCTTGAACGTTGCCATGGACAAATGCGGAAAATGTGAAAAATATTTCAAAAAGTCCTACGGAGGACCCAACGTAGGAAAGAGCTTTCCTACGGAAATCCGTAGAGAGATTTACGTATGAAAGCTGTCCTCGCTCCCCGGCGCGTACGACATACGGATTTTCATACGTAATTACGTAGAGCGAAACCTCCCTAATATCTCCGAATCCTTCGAGACCCGTTCTTGAATAATCCCAGTTTCTTCGACTTCTCTCTTCTTCTCCTTCTAGAAGCTAGGCTGCGTTTACATGAGGCGTTTCAACCCGGGTTGAGTTCGACCCGGGTCAGATTTCAACCCGCCATGTACACAACATGAATGGCGCATTTACATGACGCATTGCGCTTGACCCACAGTCAACTGGGTTCTTGTGGCCAGGCACAAGGGGTACATGGATGCAGCTAATGGGGTCGTTCTCGGCACTTGTGCCAGTGGTTGTGAGACTTATCCGGATATCCACTCACCCCCACCGTTAGGCGCTGCATCTGCCGCTAGGATTTACCGGGTGCTAGCGGCCGTCGTGAGTTCCCTTCCATGAACGGACACGATAACTTACTTTTTTTTTACTTACTTTACTTATTGCGCTTGACCCGGGTTGAAATTTCGCCCCGGGTTGATTTCAACCCTCCCCCCCCCCCAAGGGGAGGGTTGAAATCAACCCGGGTCAAGAAAATCGTACAAACGTACTTCTGTGCGTATCTCACGCCAGGTTTGAACAGCACTGCAATTTTGCGCGAACGGATTCACGTGACCATACAGGACTCTAGAAGTGGACTTTTGGCGGCATATCAGTATTTGACCCGGGTCAACTGTTTTCATGCAAGCGCTCACCTATTTTGTCTATCGTACAGACTTTCAACCCGGGTTGAAATTTCTCATGTAAACACAGCCCTAGAGAATATAAGGCTGCGTTTACACGACAACGCTGGGGTTGAAA